TAAGGGGGTTCAAAAAATTTGGGGGGGGGGGATTTTTTTTTCCTTTTTTTTCTTTAAAATTTTCCATTTTAAATTGGTTATTTCTGATTTCTGATTTATATATAAAAGCAAATAATAATGATATGGTTTGAATAGGAAAATTAAAATTTATAAGTTCTTTCATTCTGTGTCAGAAACCTATGCTGTGTCAAATATTTAATTACAATCCAAATTCAGTGCTGTATCAAGCTTGAATGTTGTGTCCATACTTGCCCCAACTGTTCAGGGTTCGACCTCTGCGGTCGTATCAAGCTGCGCCCCAGCGGAGCATTTTATTTTAACATCAGATCTGAATCAACGAATATCTCTGGGCCCAGATCAGAACAAAATCTATGATTGTTTATGGTAAACCTTTCACACCTTATTCCTGCTGTTTGATTTATCATGGTTATTTGGATGTTTTATAACGGCAGAAAACGACTTGGTTACATTTTACAAGCGTCGATGTTTAAAATTTGGAATACACTTTAGTATTTAACTATGTAGTACACGACACACCTCATACGTATTTACGGTACATCCATCCCCCCCCCCCCCCCCAAAAAAAAAAACAAAACAAAACAAGAAGCATTCAAGTTCATATGAAAGTAATTAAACGGGCGATAAATTTCAAGAAAACTGTTCATACTGTCCTTTTAAAGTCTATTGTAAGCATTTATTCATTATTTTTCGCTTCCAAAAATAAAAAATTGGTTAGAGTAATTCTGGAAAACATATAATTGTTCTTTCTAAGCATACTCGATCAGATATAAGCTTCAAGACACTTAAAAGTATGGGAGATTATTATAACGTAGTACAAAGACAAAATCTTTACCAGAATCCAGGTGCATTACTTTGTCATTTGCTTCAGTTATCGCAATTAACAATGCACTGATTGCAATCAACAGTACACTATCTGCAATTTCCGATGTACGGGGATACACAATATGATAATGTGTACGTAGTCTTGTCATCATTTGTTTAATATTTCTGACAACTCGATCACAAAGGGACCAGTAGCCTCAACTTGGCTGTAAAGGATTTGATGTGGACAGACACCGTGTAACAGCACCAATGATGGTTTCCTCCTGTAGTATCTAATGTGGACAGACACCGTGTAACATCATCAATGATGATTTCCTCCCGTAATATCTAATGTGGACAGACATCGTGTAACATCACCAATGATGATTTCCTCCTGTAGTATTTGATGTGGGACCGCCCCGGTGGTCTCGTGGTAGCGTGTTCGCCTCGAGTGCGGGCGGTCGTGGGTTCGAACATTGACCGGGTCAAAACAAAGACATTGAAATTGGTATTTGCTGCTTCTCTGCTAAGCACGCGGTATTAAGGTGTAAGAGCAAAGACTGGTCAACTCGGATTCAGAATACTAATAGTAATGTGTCCAGGTAATGTGACATGTATTCCTGCGGGCTGTTACCTTGTGAACTAGCACGTTAAAAATCCGGCTCAGCGTGTCAGTCTAGTACAAAGAAGGGTTAATATTCATATTACATTTACATGTTCTAGTCCTGAATATGCATATTAATTTGCCGCTGGACGTTAAGCATCAATCCATCTTCATCATCATCTGATGTGGACAGACGCCGTTTAACATCACCAATGATGATTTCCTCCCGTAGTATCTGATGCGGACAGACAACGTGTAACATCATCAATGATGATTTCCGCCCGTAGTGTCTGATGTGGACAGACACCGTGTAACAGACCCAATGATGGTTTCCTCATGTAATATCTCATGTGGAAAGATATCGTGTAACATCACCAATGATGATTTCCTCCCGTAGTATTTGATGTGGACAGACACCGTGTAACAGCACCAATGATGGTTTCCTCTCGTAGTATCTGATGTGGGACCGTCCCGGTGGTCTCGTGGTAGCGTGTTCGCCTCGAGTGCGGGCGGTCGTGGGTTCACACCTTGACCGGGTCAAAACAAAGACATTAAAATTGGTATTTGCTGCTTCTCTGCTACGCACGCGGCATTAAGGTTTAAGAGTAAAGACTGGTCAACTCGGATTCAGAATAATGTGTCCAGGTAATGTGACATGTATTCCTGCGGGCTGTTACCTTGTGAACTAGCACGTTAAAAATCCGGCTCAGCGTGTCAGTCTAGTACAAAGAAGGGTTAATATTCATATTACATTTACATGTTCTAGTCCTGAATATGCATATTAATTTGCCGCTGGACGTTAAGCATCAATCCATCTTCATCATCATCTGATGTGGACAGACACCGTTTTACATCACCAATGATGATTTCCTCCCGTAGTACCTGATGTGGACGGACAACGTGTAACATCACCAATGATGATTTCCTCCTGTATTATCTAATGTGGGCAGACAGCGTGTAACAGAATCAATGGCGATTTCCTTTTGTAGTATCCATGTCCAGTGCACAATGTAAAAGCAATATTGTCGACATCGCGATATTAACAATGTTAACAAGATATCGTGTTAACATCGTTAACATTGGAAGAACTGTTATATATTGTTTAACATCGTTGACATCGTGATGTTGACGATGTTAAAGATGTAAACACAAAGGTATTGACTCATTATACAATATAAACGATTTTGACACGCTATTGTCAACATCGCGATATCTACGATGTGAACGATGTAAACAAAAAGGTATAGAATTGGTATAAAATATAAACACGATGTTTACTCGCTATTGTCGACATTGCGATATTTACAATGTTAAGAAGATATCGTGTCAACGTCGTTGACATTGTTATAACTATTATATTCTGTTTACATCGTTGACATCGTTAACATCGCAATGTATACAATTTTGTAACGATATCGTGTTTACATCGCGATAATGACGATGTGAACGATGTAAACACAAAGGTATTGACTTGGTATACAATCTAAACGATGTTGACTCGCTATTGTCAACATCGCGATGTCTACGATGTAAACGATGTAAACCCAAAGTTAAGACTTGTTGTATACTATAAACACAGTGTTGACTCTCTATTGTCAACATCACAATGTCTACTATGCAAACAATGTTAACACAAGGTATAGATAAGATAAAATATAAACACAATAATGACACGATACAGTAGACGTCTCGATGTTGACAATATCGATAAAACATCGTGCACCGGACATACTTCAGTATCTGACGCGGACAGACACCGTGTAACAGCATCGATGGTGATTTCCTCCTGTAGTATCTGATGTGGACAGACACCGTGTAAAAAATGAAAACAACACGTTATAAATTACATATGACCGAAGCACTTTTCTGGATTTACCTTCATCAGGAACGCTCAAAGCCGAATATTTGAAAGCCAAAAATGTATAAGAATCGAAACAGTACATCACCAATTATGATTTTCTACCGTAGTATCTGGTGTGGATAGACTGTGTAACAGCACCAATGATGATTTCCTCCAGTAGTATCTGATGTGGACAGACTCCATGTAACAACAATGATGATTTCCTTCGGTATTCACTAATGTGGACAGACAATTTTTTACAGCATCAATGAATTTAATAACTGACGGTGAACAATCAATTTCCTCCTGCAGTATTCGATGTGGACAGACACCATGTGACAGCACCAGTGATTGTTTCCTCCCGTAGTATCTGATCTGGATATACCGTGTAACAGCACCAATGATGATTCCTCCCGCAGTATCTGATGTGGACAGACAACGTGTAGCAGCAATGATGTTCCGAACCATATGCCCCATTCAAAAGCGTTGACCGTAAAAAAAAGATGGGGTTTCAACCTCCGACCCCCCCCCCCCCCCCCCCCCCCCGGATCCCCCACTGTACAGACTCCGTGTTACAGCATGAAGATGTGGGCAGACACCGTGTAACATGAAGATTTCCACCTGTAGTCTCTGATGTGGATAGACACTGCGTATCAACACCGATGATGATTTTCATCTGTAGTATTTGATATGGAGAGATCGGGTAACAGCACTGATGATGATTTCCTTCTACAGAATCCAGTAAACAAAACTGACAAAAATGTTGATAAAGTCAATGTTTTGACAGTGTTGCTTATATTTTTAATTTTGCTGTACATATGGGCAATCAAAATAAAATCAATTGGACAGTGGGACTTTGGTAAACATAAGCGCGCTTTGTTTGGTATACAGCTTAAATTTATTGGTTAAATTGCTAAATTAAATTCTTTTTTCAAATAGACAAAGCTATTTTTATGGAAAGCGTCGTTTTATTCATTTATGTTGCGTAAAATCATTTGAAAATTGAACTTTCATAAATTAAACAGTTATGTTAAAACAATGAATCGATAGAAAGGAAATTGCATCATGATTGATGCTTAAATTTTCATTCAGTTTTGTTTTCGTAGTTAATATTCCCAATTAAAGAGAATAGGGATAAATTATTTTTTGGAAATGAATTCATAGAATAAATACTGAAAAATTCTAGCAAAAACAACTTCTAAATTTTAATATTTAAACTTCCAAGCAAACTGCTGTCTTAATAGACAAATTATATGTACTACAAAAAAACGAATGGTGCATTTTAAATGAACCAATTAAATCATACAAATTACCAAATCAATAGTTAACCAAACAAAGCAAGTCTAACATACACCTTTACCTTCATGAATAAATAATTGAATATAGCTTCTGTGAATCGATTAAACAACCTCTTGCAAATGATCGTATTGCAGTCTCCAACAATAATTGATACAAACATGCAAATATTTTAAAATCATATTTTTAAAACTCCCTTTACAGCTAAATTTTGCATTGATTGAAGAATTGATAAAATTTGCCAAGACTTTATCAGAAACGGTTACGGGTGTGCGACCATAACAATATAGGCGACGTTACCATAACAACTAACATCATATTATTGTAGAATGGCTGCGAATTAGCAGTATCAAACGAACTTGTCAGGTGCTTCGTCACCTGTGCGACACATGCGCAATAATAACAAAATGGTTATTAATTATTAAACCGATTTGACCATGTACTAAATATCGAAAATTAAAATAAACATGACTTAGACATGTTAGGAAGAAATAATGTTTTGGACCAGAATGTTTTTTTGATTAAACTGAAAACGGAAAATTTATTAACAGTTGACAAATATGGAATTATGGGTTAATATGTGTACAAAATCTTCTATTGTTGATTGTTTTCTTCATTATCCATAAAAATGCCAGGTGCAAGGAGGGGCCTTGTGGCTCCACAAAATACGTTTTTGGAAAACATTATTCGGCGATCAAATGGACAGCGTAAGTTGCAAACACATGTAGTCTGTCTTTCTTTTGGTGTTTTTCTCTCTTTTTAAATTTTCTATTTAATGTGTAACTATTTGTTGTGATCTTTGTTGTTTATTTAGACCACGTAAACCAGACGTGACTTTTGGCATATTTGTATTTATTCGATTGACATTATTTCCAGTTCTTCTAAACACGTGTACACGAAAATAATAAGGAGCAACTAGATCCCTTTAACATCATGATTTATTTTAATGTTAGGTTTGCAACATAATATACTTTGTGTAAAGGTACCATCGTTGTGTCTGTCAACTTTATTTGGTTATAAAAATGTTGTAAAATATTTAATTTAAGTTTTAAGTAATTTGTGTGATTAAAATGACTTAAAATATGTTTTTGTATAATACATAAAAGTAAACACATGTGAATTCAGTAAATATTTAAACAGTATACAGTTGGAGCGGAGACACATATGTCTGGTTGGAGCGGCATGTTCGTTTTTGAAATATCTGATTTCATCGAAATGGAAAGGTAAAGATACCCCGGTAATCCGAATTTGATTGAACCTTTAGATAATGTTTCAAGTAAAAAGTACAAACATTAACCGAATTAGGTATTCTCTATAGATTGTAGAAGATAGGCGCATTAGATTCCAAAATTTCTACACTGAAATTTTTTAAACAAAGAAAATTAATTGTAAAATGAATCATTAGAATTACAAACGGATGGTGTTCATTCGTCTCTCTCACTGAGAGAGAGAGAGAGACGTAATTTCAAATTGTGAAGAGAGAGAGAGAGATAAACGTAATTTCAAATTGTGAAGAGTTTAGATAATGTATACTTCAATACCATTATGAGCAGTAAGTTATACAGCTGAAGATTGAATTTTTTATTATTCTATAGACACTACAACTAAACCTACTGTTATCAAATGTAATGAATGAATTGCCGACTTATTTCTTACTCTCATTTAATACTGTTTAAATCATCATTCATAATCGTTGGTTTTTCCCTTCTTTCTCTCATTCACTGTTTAAATGTTCAATCATAATCGTTGGTTGTCCCTTCTTTCTCTCATTTCATAGTTTCAACTATCAACCATAATCGTTGGTTTTTTTTCCTTCTTTCTCTCATTTCATATTGTTTGAACTATCAATCATAATCGTTAGTTTTTCCCTTCTTTCTCTCATTTCATACTGTCTAATTCATCAATCATAATCGTAGGTGTTTCCCTTCTTTCTCTCATTTCATACTGTTTAAATCATCAATCATAATCGGTGGTTTTTCCCTTCTTTCTCTCATTTGATACTGTTTAATTCATCAACCATAATCGTTGGTTTTCCCCTTCTTTCTCTCATTTCATACTGATTAATTTATCAATCATAATCGTTGGTTTTTCCATTCTTTCTCTCATTTCATCCTGTATGAATCCTCAATCATAATCGTTAGTTTTTTCCCTTCTTTCTCTCATTTCATACTGTCGAATACATCAATCACAATCGTTGGGTTTTCCCTTCTTTCTCTCATTTCATACTGTCTAATTCATCAATCATAATCGTTGGTGTTTCCTTTCTTTCTCTCATTTCATACTGCTTGAATCATCAATCACAATCGTTGGTTTTTCCATTCTTTCTATCATTTCATACTGTTTAATTCATCAATCATAATGATTGGTTTTTCCCTTCTTTCTCTCAAATCATACTGTTTAAATTATCAATCATAATCGTTGGTTTTTTCCATTCTTTCTCTCATTTCCTACAGTCGAAATCATCAATAATAATCGTTGTTTTTCCCTTCTTTCTCTCATTTCATACTCTTTAAACTATCAATCATAATCGTTGTTTTTCCTTCTTTCTCTCATTTCATACTGTTTATCGATCATTTCCTACTATCATTATTATCAATCATAATCGTTGATTTTCCATTCTTTCTCTCATTTCCTACTGTCGAAATCATCAATCATAAACATTGGTTTTTCTCTTGTTTCTCTCATTTCATACTGTTTAAACTATCAATCATAATCGTTGGTGTTTCCCTTCTTTCTATCATTTCATACTGTCTAAATTATCAATCATAATTGTTGGTGTTTCCCTTCTTTCTCTCATTTCCTACTGTCGAAATCATCAATCATAATCGTTGGTTTTTCCATTCCTTCTCTCGTTTCGTACTGTTTTAATCATCAATCATAAACGTTAGTTTTTCCCTTCTTTCTCTCATTTCATACTGTTTAATACATCAACCAAAATCGTTGGTTTTTCCCTTCTTTCTCTCATTTCATACTGTTTGAATCATCAATCACAATCGTTGGGTTTTCCCTTCTTTCTCTCATTTCATATTGTTTAATTCATCAGTCATAATGGTTGGTTTTTTCCTTCTTTCTCTCATTTCATACTGTTTAAACTATCAATTATAAGTGTTTGCTGTACTCTCTTTCTCTCATTTCATATTGTTTAAAGCATCAATAATAAGCGTTGGGTTTTCCCCTCAAAAGTTGTCTAAAACCGTGTTTTATACACTAGATACAAAAAAAAAACAAAAAAACTATAATTTCATCTGTGTTCTCCCTTATATGTTGGATTACAGTACCAACCTAATGTATTTATTGGTAATTTGTTCTCGTCCTGAACATTTGTGAAATATTTGCCACTGGACGTTAAGCAACAAACAACCAATTAATCAACCATTATGTTGGCGAGTCAAAGCAGCCATTCTTAAATTGCATCAATGGAAACGGGAGCCATGTAACTAAGAAGCCATATCTACCAATAAGCTAACACTTTCAGACAGTCGGATCATAATCTCGACGATCTAAACCGCATGACAGTTCTAGTGATTAAAATGAACAATCACTGGGAATAATACTCAGCAGGAGGACCGGGAATATTTTTTTAATTAATGGACGTAATGTCCTCCATCAAGATAGCATTAACAGAAAGAAAACACTTGAGTTTTTTTTACAAATGTATTAATCAGTAATATTATCGGATATATGGATATGTATATATATATATATATACGTTCAGGATTGTTTTTAGTAATATCAGAAAAAAATTGATAAGATTCATGTTACATCATACTAATGAAGGATATCTGTTATCCGAAATGTTTATTGATACTTGTTTTTATTGTTTCCTTTTTAATATTTGTGTTGTTTTGTACACTTTTAAGGCATATATAATATATAAATTGCCTAACAATGTAAAAAGTAGAATAACAAAAATACCGAACTCCAAGGGAAATTAAAAACAGAAATTCCTTTATCAAATAGCAAAATCAAAAGCTCAAACATATCAAACGAATAGAAAACAACTGTCATATTCCTGACTTGGTACAGGAATTTTCTTACGTAGAAAATTGTGGATTAAACCTGGTTTTATAGCTAGCTAAACCTCTCATTTGTATGACAATCGCATAGAATTTCATTATATTGACAACAATGTGTGAGCGAAACTAATAGACATAATAAGTAAAACTGTCAAAAATTTGGGTACAGCAGTCAACATTGTGTTATAATCTTAATCACTATAAAAACAAATAGCTATTTCAAAAAAGAAAAACAAAATGGCATATAGACACTCTATAGACAAAGTACATAACAAAAATGAAAGACAAGAATACAAAAATGACCATAGCACAATAACACAATGGCGGGATGTATAAATACCTACCATGCCAAAATTTTAACACACTATCTAGTATTAAAATGTTAAAAATATTTACAATGCGATGAATAAAACCAACGATTATGATTGATTTATGACGACAACCATTTGTTGTGCCGAAATATTTGTCAATACGAGACTTTTTTCATTATGAATATGTATGCTAAAAAATGTTAGATCTGTAAATTTGAGACTAAGATATATAAAAGAAACCCCATTTCTTTAAACGAGTGATACCTTTCCTCTATTTTGTAACTTAGTACATGGTGTATGGTGACATGCAAATAGTATGCAAACTTAGATAGGAAAGTTGTGACCGTCGTATAGGACTATAATACTTATCATTTAGTCACATCAATATCATTATTCTATTTGTGACAACTCTATACGACAGATAGTTTCAATCGGATAGCTGAGGTCTATTTAGTCACATCAATATCATTATTCTATTTGTGACAACTCTATACGACAGATAGTTTCCATCGGATAGCTGAGGTCTATACATGGCACCACAATTCACATGTTCTTCGTCTGAAATTTAGTCCTACAATGTCAGATCAATATATATATAATTAACTTTGAACCATTAGTCTCAATCAAATATGATATATTCATGGGAAATTAAACATCATGGTAATGAGATTATTCTAAGGCAAGGTTGAGAACTCAATAAACATTCCCGCGTCACGTTTTCAAACAAATACATTGATTCCAAGAAAACTCAATGGAAATTGTACAGTTTGATGTCCTAGAAATCGAACTTACCGGTCTGTAGTAAATACACATGTAAATAGACAAAACAATAACAATATCACATAGTATATAGACCTGGTTCTAGACCATCAAGTTCTTGTAGTAGTGTTTCTTTAATTAACATACACACACATATGGTATATGTTTAAGAGTACTTGAACAGTACGCATACGTCCATGCTACAGTTTATTTTCAAAACAATCCAGCGACTCTTTTCACAAAAAATCTTAAGAGTAAAAATACTCGTAAGTCATACACATTTCAGTATAACTTACGATCAATTTTAATCGTAAGATTTTTTGAAAAGAATCGCTGAAACTTAAGTAGTTTAATTGCAAAAACAGTTTACAATAGTCATTCATTTAGTCCGACTTAGGCCTGATGAAAAAAAACAGTTGACAATAGTAATTCATTTAGTCCGACTTAGGCCGTACGAAAACAAGAGTTGTTGAGTATTTGTCAATAATACAGCCACATAAAACAATAATACAGCCACATAAGTCAATAATACAGCCACATAAAACAATAATACAGCCACATAAGTCAATAATACAGCCACATAAAACAATAATACAGCCAAATAAGTCAATCATACAGCCA